CATTTTCCCCACAATATGTTTTGACAAATTAGTTTTTAATTTTCAAGAGGGTTCCCCCTCCATACTTGATCAGGATATGGATGAAATGAACCGGCTAGGCTTTAAATTGGTGAATTAAAAAAATAATAGATTTCGACATTTTTTCGACAAATTTTTAAACCAGTTTGTGAGTTGCCTCACAAATTTTTTGCTCGGTCGGATTTGACGTTTATTGGATACAAAAGGACAAAAAAAAAACAGACAAGCAAAGTATATAAATAGAGTGAGAACCAGAAAACTCTGGAATAGGAGGACGACTTAGACTTGACTTTAAATAGTTCAAAGAACATGACCGACACGGCGATAAACTAGTGCATATACTATATACACAGCCAATTTAAAAGTGAATTTATAAGTTAAATTAAAATTTAACCTATTTGCTTTCTAACAACATCAAATTTAGACTTCAGGATTGCTATATACGTCGTCTCCCTTTCCACAGTTTTCTGTAGATGAAATTATTTTGAGACATGGCAGTCAAGATTTATATTTCATGATGGTTATAGATAATATAGTAAAACTACAGCTAAACCAGGCGAGGGAGGGAGTTCAGAGTTCCACAAATAGTAATCACTGCCACCCAAATCTGTTTTGCGGCAAGCGCGCTCCTCAGAATTGGTAATCTCCACCACCTCAAATAGTAATCAGCCCAAAAAAGCATAAAATTAAATCGTTTATTTCTTAGAAATAAGATCATATTGACCTCTTTTAATGGCCCTATGGTGTACGATATTCTTAAAGCTTTCTTTATTGCTCCTTAGTTTCGAAAATACATCAATAAATATGCCACACTAAGTGCTAGAAATATATTACGTTTTTTAGTTTCAAGTTTTGCTTTAAGAATGTTTGCGGCATTTTCCATTATTAGTGGACTAAATATCCTTTTATAGAGAGGAAACTTTAACCCATTATTAGTGGACTAAATACTTCATTTTCAGTAGTGGGTGTGATGAGACTAATTTTTCAAAATTTTATGTTCTTTCTATGCATATAATTAGTTTTGTTGTAGATGTTGAACTCGAGTAGGCGAATACAAAAATCTAAACACTTTAAAGGTTTTATGAAAATATCTTTTAAATGGAGATGGATATTACTTTGGGTGGGATGAGATAATTTTTAGTAAACAGGCAGACCGACCTTTTTTGTATCTTGACGCCAATCATGAAATGCATTCATTAAAGTGGCGAATTGGATCTAAGATTCGGCTAAAATGAACTGTGCCTTGATTCTCAGTTTTTGTTGACCAAACAAATCTGAAAATAATTTGAAAATTTAGTTTTCAATACAGATGCCATAAAACCCCGATAGATGTCGAAAATTGTGTTAAAAGTGCATTAAATTCAACTCACAGAAAACAAAATTTTACGGTGATTACTAATTGAGGTGGTGGAGATTACCAATTGAGGAGCGCGCTTGCCGCAAAACAGATTTGGGTGGCGGTGATTACTATTTAAGGAACTCTGGACTCCCTCCCCCACCAGGCACACATTCTATATTATTATGTAGATGTATTGCTTACTGTTTCTATCTTTTACATAAGTTTAATATGACAATAAAGTTTTTCCGGAACCTTTTCCCAGAAAATGCTGGAACGATTTATCTGTAAACCAGAATTTTCTAGAACTTAATATTCCGGGACGTACGTTCCAAAATTTCGGTACTACGATCTGAAAATTTCCGGTTTACGGTAAAAAATCGTTCCGGAATTCCTGATTTCTGGAACCTTTTCCATAATGGAAATGGAAAAAAATTCCGAATCATTTCCGCACGTAAACCGTAACCCGGAATTACGGTGAAAACCCTAACCCTGTACTACGCATTAGTACATGACACTATATACAACACTATATATAACTGCAAGCTGCAGATCCTGCAGCTTTCAGAACTTTCTCAACTTGGACTCTATTACGATCCTTGTGCGTCTATAGCTGTAAATACCCCCTGGTAGATTTTTCACTTCTTCCCTCCCTACAAAGGTTTTTATAATTACATTAATTTCATCTTTAAAAATTATTGCCTTATACATATATCCGAATGTGTCTACGGCTTAAAGTTGCCAGTTTCTTTAAATATTTAATATCTTTACTATCCCAGGTAAAGATCACCGCCACATTTGCCACATACAATGAAAAAAACCAAAATGATGGCCAATAAACCAATTGAAAATATCTAAATGTAGAAAATTTACATGTAAAATTACATGTAACAAACGTAGCTACGTCGGGATAATATCAATCAAATGAGACTTCATGTACAGCTTATATCCAGTATCTTTCATGTACAGCTTATATCCAGTATCTTTCGTGTACAGCTTATTTCCAGTATCTTTCATGAATTATAGTTCTGTTTAGGTCTATCTGCCCCATGGTCGACACCGTAGTACATTTCCAAGCCGGGTCAACCATTCCGGTCCCAGTTTGTACTGCACCTAACTCTATGGACAGGACTAGCCGGTGCAACAAGGTTGACACGGTCAGTCTTTATGCTTCATATAGGTTGAATTTACTTTTATCAAAGGGGCAAATTGCGTGGCCCTTGTTTTGTTTGCCAAATCATTCAGTATACACTCTCAAAATACTTTGTTAAGGACCAAATACCAAATTAAACCTTCCGATTCACAGGTTTGTTTTGACCTTTGGGACAAAAAATGAAAATGAAGCTATTGAAATAAAAAAATGTCTTAAGGATTAATGATTTTCTTATCAAAATCATTATTTTTTTAGATAAAAAATTCCGTCAATGATAATCAAAAACAACACTTTTTAACATTTCTGTCACCTTGTATACCCATTTAGGTAAAAGTTAGAAGAAAAGTTGATTTCGCTCATTCTCAAATTTATAGTTCATAGTTAGTTTAAAAAATTGTTGGTTCAGTAAAAACCATGGATTTTTAAAAAGTTAAATCGAAAAAATAGTTTGGTCAGTAAAAATATTTAAGTTTGTTCAAAATTATTTGATAAATTTGTTGGTCGAGTATATGATCTGCAGTTGAACAATTTTAAATCGTTTTTTTTTGTTTGTTTCAAATTTCTTTAAAGATCAAAGTTGTTCGTCCGTGCATTAGTTCTTTTTCTGTTAACAAAAAAAAATACCTATTACTATACTCAAGGGCAATATCAGTTAAATATGATTTCTTATTTTTTATTGCTCTTGCTTTGAGGTCAAAACAAAAAGAAAATTTAATTCCAATTGTATCATATATCTCTCTTGGAGTCAGGTGCATGTTTAGTTTACCAGTAACATTAATGTTCTGAGAGGTAGGTAGGTTAGGATATGGTACAGCTCAAGTGCAGTGCTTGGTAAATAAAATAACAGTACAGAATCAGTCTTGAATATCTTTCGACCATTAAACATCTACGTAAATTTCAAAACATATTTTTTTCAATTCCAATACAGTGAGACCCATAAAACTGTTAAATAGTTTTACCAGTTGTTATAGACTGAAATTAATAAAGTGAGTTGGGACCCATACACAGGACAATACTTGTTGCGTATCATGTTAATTGAACTATTTAAAATAATAACTTAAGTCTAACTCTCATTACTCCACATCATGGGTCTCATTGTAAATAATGTTTTCATTTAACTAAAGCCAGAGAAGACATCAACTACGTTTTTTACAAGTACGAACTGATTTTGGATGAAAGGGGCGTAGACATATTTTAAGTCTTAATCATAACGTTACCCCTAAAACCTTTGTTAGAAGCTGGGAAAACTACTAAATATTTCATATTATTGATTAACTGAAGGTTGTAAGGGCACTGTTGTGAATCAGGCATGCCCTTTTTTAAATGGAGGGACAGGGTCACTCAAATATGACAAAAGTCCCATCACATGCATTTTCCTTTTTTGCAATGTATTTTGGAGTAATATTCAATCCTGAAACTTTGTCTTTCAAATTCCTAAATCTTTTAAACCTGGTGTTTATAGTTTTACAATTTGCTTTTAAGGAGTTTATAGTTTCATTTATTAGACATCTGGAGGCAAAGATATAGAGATTAGAAAACCTGTATTTGTTCCCAATGAATTCAGCCCCTAATTCAGTTCTTACTTAACTGAATTTTTATTAAAGGTCCGCATATCATGATGCAAAAAATAAGTTTTAGATGCAAGTTCTCAATCCTGCATAGACGAAACAAAAGTTTACACTTTATATGTTTTTTTTTACTTTTTAAAATTTGCAGAGCACACACATTGTCAAGATAGTGAAGAGAGAAAAAAGGGGAGAGAAGAAGCAACCTAGGGATTAGGTCAACCCAGAGAATGAGAAAGAGGAGAAAAATAAGGAAGAGAAGAGGGGATAGAGGAGACAGAGCTGAGAAAAAGGAGGTAGAGAAGAAATAGGAGAAAAATGAGGATCCAACTGATCGAAAGTTTGCCGCGAACTTACAAGGTTTACTTTTCTTTCTCTCGCATGTACCTATTGCAACTAAAAGTCAATAGTGCCGACATATTATGACGAAAGCTGTCGATGATGTCGAGTCGTGTATACGACATCGGCTAAAATGTTTCTTGGGTATAGCACAGAATAATTTCCAGTTTTGGCCAACAGGATCCCTAATTGCAAGAAAATGGACTTAACAAAATTCCGTACAACCGTCTCTGAAGTCGCATCCTTGGTGGGTCTTGTGGGTAACCCTATCCTATATGGATCATTTATAGTTATTGCTACTAAAAACAGATTTAACGTGAATTTGTTCACACTGTAAGTAGTATGGTGGTGATTTCTGTAATCTGGCAACTGTGTCCGCGTAGAGTGGGCCCGAACCGGCCGGTCCAACTCCAATAGCAAGTCTGCTGTCAGATAAACAGGGATAGTTTTAATTACATCACAAGTAAAAATTGAACATCCTCCATTATCTTCCCGAAAAAATAGTAATATTTATTTTCGTAAGTTTGAGATTTTTTACGAAAGTATTTTCTCCAAACCCTGGAATCACAGTTCATGCCGAGCCTCCTTTCCCCGTAGTTCAACTGAGGTGATATTCATGTTGCGTAGTTCTTCAAAACTCTATATAAAAGAAATGTTTTTCTAAGGATTCAGTTATAATTTTAGTTGTCATGATGTTTCAAGTCATTTCTATGATAATTTGAAATTTATGACATACACTGATTAGTTTACCAAACACCAACAAATATATTTTTACCCTATGCAGCAATGTTTAAATGTTTTGTCTTGTCATTGTAAAATTTTTCGCGTATCTGTTTAAAATTGTCATTGACGACTTAAAAAAGGTTATTTTTTTGGGCTTATGTGTCGTGTATGAAAAAATCGTTTTTTACGTGACTGGTTGATTTTTCTACGCACTGTTATCGTAACCCTAGGTTTCCCTATACTCTATAGGTGTCCTGTGACGGATATGTCTGTTGCTAAGGGGTATGGGTATATTCCTAGTATACGATTTTTGGTTATATCTATAAATGGATAAAATTATTTTCACAATTCTATTTAATAAATCATTTTTGCACGTTTCCCAATTTACCCCCTAAACTAGAAATGCCTCTTTGGGCCTTCGTGTTAGTTCGAGCCTTATAAATGGAGATAACACCAAATATAAAGATAGCAAGGCCTGTACGTGATATTTCTTAACTTTGAGTATAACATTATTTAGGAATCAGCAAACACAAATATATTACGGAACGAATTACTGACATTTCTGAAGGGCCGATTTTTGCCCCCCCCCCCCTTGAAATACTCTCCTTAACTTTGGGAGATGATATCACACTTAATGTTGTGTTCTAGATGTTTTGTATGCAAAATTGGTGGAGGGAACTCCGCTAAAGAAAAAGTTCCTTAACTTTCCTGTAAATAAAGTAGTTGTTAATAGTAATAACCGTTTTTTAATAGTACAGTGAAGTTTTTTTGGCTTTTAATCTAGGTTCCTAAAATATCTGATTTAACTTTTATCTTCACTAAAAAATAGCTTTATCCTCATTTTGAGTAAACGATTTTCTGTAGTGTAATAATGAAAGCAAACTTTCATAGCTCATAGAAGTTTCAACTGCTTTATAACTGCTTAAAAGCCAAAAACTTTTAAATGAAGAAAAACCTGATTATAAGATATGAAATGTCATATTGAAACCAAATATGTAAAAAATAACGTAAAACATGCAAAACTTTATCTATACATAAATTTGGCTTCTATGTCTGGGTGTTTGTATGTATAAAATAAACGTCAAAACAGTTGAACTGATCAGGCCCAAATTTTTTGTGGGACATCACGTGACCCCAGGGAAGGTTTATGAATGATAAAAATTTTAAAAATTTGTGTTAAAAGTTTTTATTTTTTGCAAATCTTGAAAATCCGCGAATTTTTTTCTTCTTTGTTTTAAAATGTACAAAAGAGAACATGTTCACAATATAAATGAAAGATGGGCGGGAAGCGCTTTAAAAGCCTAGTTATTTATATATTTAAGTTTACAAGTTTAGTTTAAATGTTTTAAATTGTAACCATTAAAGTCTTAAAATTGCATCTCTACTTTAATCTTGGTTTAATCCCTCTTTAACTGGAAACAGAACCTCCCCCCCCCCACACCTCTTGTTCTACTTATCTCTTAGGGTCTCAAGAATTAGAAGAAATATAATAATGAACTGTGAACTGTTAGCATCATAATTCATATATATTTTTATCTTTTTATTAAATATAAGAAATTCAGCATCATTTCTGTGTTTTGTGTTGATATTGTTAGACAGATGATACACACAAAGTATGAAAACCTTAAATATGCACTTTTTCACAATTGACGACTGGTTGTTAAGTTGGCCTCCTAAATAAATGCTTTTTTCAGATATAAAAGATTTTATCTGCGTTTTCAAGTTATAAAGAAGAAAGAAAAAGTTCTTCACGATGTAATCCTAAACCTGTTTCTTGATTCAGCAAATATAACAGGTATGTTCATCAAGGTACACCCAGACATGAAATTTTTTATGATATATCAATCCCCCTTCCACCCGGTGGGCCCCTTGACAAGGTATAGTGTTTCCTCAGTTAAAACATTCGATTTTTCAGCTTGGTAACAGTAAATATTTGAAGCAGTGTGAAGTATGTATACTGTCAAGAGAAATTAGATCATTTAAATCATAAATACTAAACTGATATTTACTGGGAGAGGGAAGGAAAAGTTAAGGAAGAAAGGATATTTACTGAAATAGGAAAGGAAAAGTTAAGGAAGAAAGGACATATACTGAAATAGGGAAGGAAAAGTTTAGGAAGAAAGGATTTATAAATATGATTAAAATTTATAAATATTATCAGGATTTAAAAATATCAAAATGATCAGGATTCAGAAATATTATTAGGATTTAGAAATATGATCTTGATTTAGAAATATGATCAGGATTTAGAAATATGATCAGGATTTAGAAATATGATCAGGATTTAGAGAAATGATAGGGATTTAGAAATATGATCAGGATTAAGAAACATGATCAGGATTTAGAGAAATGATCAGAATTTAGAAATATGATCAGGATTAAGAAATATGATCAGGATTTAGAGAAATGATCAGAATTTAGAAATATGATTAGGATTAAGAAATATGATCAGGATTTAGAGAAATGATAGGATTAAGAAATATGATCAGGATTTAGAGAAATGATCATAATTTAGAAATATGATCAGAAATCAGAATTAAGAAATATGATCAGGATTTAAAAAAATTAACAGGATTTAGACAAATGATTAAGGGGGTTAGAAATTCAAATATGATCAGGGTTAGGAAAAAAATTATCAGGATCTTTGAAGACTATCAAAATTTTGAAATATTATTAGAATTGAGAAAAGATCAGAATTAGAAAAATATTAGAATTAATAAAGCAGATTAGGATCAATTATGAAAAAAGGTTAAGAAATTTAAAAGACGAAAATAGTTAGGAACTGACGATAAAACGTGTATTGCAGTGAGAATCCTAGACACGTTTAGTAAAAGCAATGTGACCTGAAAACTGGGCAGTATTTAAAGATACTGTTTGGAAATTGGGAAATCCCTAAGTTCTGGCTTCTTCGAATGGAAAAACGTGTAGAGTGCATTAACCCTGTTATGTTCCCCTACCTTTTAATTTTAAGCGAGGTTGCTACGCAGTACGCATTCAGACTCAACAGCAGCCTCGTTTAGCCTTTCCGACCCGGCCTCGAGAAACATGCTTTTTTGATATGATGTTGATAGTACTGTATTTAGTTTAGTATCAGTTTGTTTGTGGTTAGTAGTTATGTTGTTGTTGAAGATGGGTTTATTATGATCGACTTGATTAATGGTTATTGTCCTGTAAATTATGATAAAGGAATACTTTCCCAAAGCCTAATTTTCTTAACCTCGTAACTTTAGTCATAGACCTTTTAATATTTAAAACTATTATTCCTTTTAATAGCAAACGTTTGAAGTGCCAAAGATTCATCTGATTGCAAAGATATAAGGATTAGAAAAACAGAATTAAAAATTAGTTACTGTATTATTTTATAACAAACTGTTAGATTTCTATCTGTTTTCTGTTTTTAAACTATTGTTTTCTGTTGTAGTGCTTATTTTTTCTACATTTTCTAATTTTTTTCGGTTTTTTTTAGTACTATTTGAGTTCTGTAAGTGTACTGTTAGATAATTTTTAAATATTACTTTTTGTATTTTTAAATACTCCTTTTTGTATTTTTAAATACTAATTTTTGTAATTTTAAATACTCCTTTTTGTATTTTTAAATACTCCTTTTTGTAATTTTGTATTTTGTACCCCTCCTCGTAGTAGGTGGCCGGGTTGGTTCAGGATTTTTCTTACCGGTAGGGGTCGGATAGTCCTGTAGGCGGTCTGGGTTGCCCAAGATGGGGCTTCTTTCAGATCTCATCTCACATAATTACATAATCACTACTTTTCTATTTTTAAATACTACTTTTTGTATTTTTAAATGCTACTTTTCTATTTTTAAGTACTACTTTTTGGAATTTTTTAATGCTACTTTTTGGATTTTTAAATACTACTTTTATATTTTTAATTAATTTTTAAATGTTTAAATACTACTTAAGTATTTTTAAATACTACTTCTTGTATTTTTGATTTGTTACTTTTTAGATTTAAAGAATTACATTTTTATTTTTAAATATTATTTTTAGATTTCTGTTTACTTGAGTTTCTAAAAGTCCGGCTGTTGTGCGTCATTCCCTAAAATAAAGTTTAGGTAAGCTTTCCAGTAACTCTCAAAATATAGGAAGGTGGGGGGGTTTCTAGACATATTAGTAGGGTGACCTTTACTAATAATATATAGAGATATGGTGGGGTGGTCAGACATATTAACAGGGTGTCCTTCCCTAAAAATACCGGGAGATATTGGGGGGAGGGGGGGGGGGGTAATAATGGTGAAGACCTTCACTTAAAATATATTTGATTATTGGCCTTTTTTCTGTTTAGTTATTACCAAGATGGCTGGAGTTGCCCAAGCTCTTCTTGAAGCTAGCAGAAGGTATAAAATGGAGTTGGATTGGGGAGGGGGCTATTTTTGAAAAAAAAATCTGATTATGCTCTTTAAATTATTTCCTATTTCTTTGTAGACCTCTAAAAAAAATTGATATTATTGAAATATCTTAAATCTATGACAAGAGGTTGCAAAGAAATAGGGATTAGAAAATTAAAGTTTGAGTCGAGTAAACACGGGATATTCTAAAATCTAACATAATGAATGTTTTACACCCCAAGATATATCTTCCATATGTATATTGAATATTATTTCTGCATTTACTTTACACCTTTCAATCCAGGATGTCCGTTGGAACCCGTCCTACCTTAGTTATTCATCCAACAGTAGGAGGTACTGGAGAACCTCTCTCTCCTACTGGTAGTACACCTGGTCTATCNCCCCCCAAATTATATACATACAAGAGCCCGTAAAATTTTTGGATTTCGAATTTAATTATTATCAAATTATGCATTTACCTAAAAAAATCTTGGCATAAAATTAAAAATTTATTTTTCTGATAATAATCTTTTCTTGTGGTTGGTGATCTTTTTGCAAGCCTTTTGTAATGTTTAAGCAAAACATCAAATTTTGTAGATTTTTTCTGTCCTCATTGGTTGATTTCCAACATAAAGCAATTTCTTGAAATTTCGATCATTTGTAAATTTCTTCGAATCACAACACAAAATATTTCGGCAGAAATTGGTTTTTTACCATTTTGAAATAAATATACAAGGGGAATTAATACAAGTATAATACATACATTATATAAACAAACTTAATTTTGTTAATTTGTTCAAGATTCTACTGGGAGCCCGAACGGTTGGTTCGGAGGCTCACACTGGAATTCCTCAACATCGGAGGTAATTAACTTAAATCATTTAATCGGAAGTAATTAATTTAATCCATTTAATCGGAAGTAATTAACTTTATCCATTTAATCTAAGGAAGGAACTTATGAAGAATATGGAAGATTTTGTTGTTTTTCCATTTTTTAATTGAAAAGAGAATATTTTGTTTGTTGGTCTGCAGGCAAAACTTTCAATGTTGGTAAAATTAAAATAACGTTTACAATTATCATTAACTAATGTTTTCCTGGCTGGATGATAAACTGGATGACAAACTACCAACATTAACTAATGTTTTCCTGGCTGGATGATAAACTGGATGACAAACTACCATCATTAATTAATGGTTTCCTAGCTGGATGATAAACTTGATGACAACCTACCATTAACTAATGTTTTCATAGCTGGATGACAAACTACCATCATTAACTAATAGTTTTTTCCTAGCTGGATGATAAACTTGATGACAAACTACCATTAACTAATGTTTTCCTAGCTGGATGATAAACTGGATGACAAACTACCAACCTATGACGGTGGTTGGTTCGGCGCTAAGCGAGTCAGGTGGGTTTTAAATATCTTATTTATTTGAGCTGCGGCTTTAATTTTAAGTTCGGCTTAAATATGGTTGGTTCCACTTAAAATTGTATTTTATTTTTAAGATTTAAGACGACGCTCAATTGAAACCGGTTTTGAGGGATTCATTTAATTCGGACACAGAAATATGTAATTTTCCGGAAAAAACTTAAAAGATTTTTTTCGCCGAAAAAGGAATAGTTTTTTTTCAAATAAATATGTTTCTGGTAAGCCGTGCGAGAAAAAATTTTTAAGACCACGTTAAAATGATAAAAGACATTGCTTATAAACTTAATTTATTTTAACTTTGCTCAGAGTAATTTAACTGCTGACAGAAACAAATGTTCCCCGAATAGTCATTGATAATTGTTCTATGAGGTTGGGCCCTTCAGGCTTTGGTTTTATTTATTTTTATATTTTAACATGATTGGTAGGATTTAGATGTTGTAATGCAAATTAGTAATGCAATTTATTTTTGTTGAATTAGAAGGAATGTGCACGTTGTATATCATAAATACCTGTTCTTCCTTCCTTATTGTTTTCCATTTTTAACAACATTTTGATTTTTCCTTTTTTTTCTATCGTTCAGAATTCAACTAAATTATCGCGTTTTTTCCTTTTTCTTTCCAAATTCTCAATTTAAAAAGCTAATTATTTCATATTCATCTAGACGTAGAAAATTAAAACAATTTTGCTTCGTCAATTTTTTCGAAATTTGAATTTTGAATTGTGGATTATACTCAAAAACTAACACTTGGCCCATTTCTAACACTTAGTATTAGAAATGGGCCAAGTGTTAGTTTTGGAATTTTTGAGCTTTCATCTTGTAGAAATTTCAAATTTAACCGTTTTTATTACAAGGCAGGACTGTTTACATCCACTTTATCGGTTCATAGAAATAGAAAAGCCTTTAAGTTAATTATGATTTTATTCTTGTTTCCAAATTTGTGAACCTTCCCTTTTTAAGGACGTACAGTGAGAGTGATGGACCACGTGTAAAGATTGACGTCATGTCCTGGCTCTCAGGTATTTTCTTTCGGACAAATCCGCAAAATTTATTTTTGGAAGTCATCAAAGTTTTATTTTGCAAATCCCGCAAAACTTTATTGCAAATCCCACCATAAGAATATAAAAAAAATGCTTTTGACAAAAATCGTTGATAAAAAAATAGAAATTTTGTTTTCACCTGAAAGTATCGCACTTTTTTTTCAGGCACACCTCGGCCAATTGAAGCGTCAAGAACAAGGAAACTCTCCGAGCCAACGTAAGTTTATTTTGATATTTTTTCAGGAAAAATTTACAAAAATAGATCTGTATCAGTTTTTTTGTTGATATTTTTACAGATGCTATTTGCAAGGATGAACACCCTATCCCGATTGGGTTATTTTTGTTTAATATAAGGGGGGGGGTGTCCCCCCCTCAGAGTTGAGATAGGGGAGTGTGATACATGTCCCTAGTCCAACTTACATACGACACATATCGATTGTTCAAGGACTTTTCAAATATATAAATTTTGGCCCTGTAACTTAACTAATAAAAAAGTTATTTATCTTGTTTTTTGAAACACCGACCCGCCGTTTGACGCTCCCCCACCATACTCTAAAATTTGTATGAGGGTGAAAAAGTGTAGAAGTTGTAGCGTTCTAATGTAAGCCGTTTTTATGTTATTTAGAAAAAACTGCAGGGGGCCACCCCCCCCCTCATCGTGACAGGGTTACGCTCTTGAATTTTTGTACAAACCATATTTATGTCAAAACCTGAACCTCGGTGTCTGGGCCAAGTCACGGTCTTGAATTGTCTTCCTCTGAAATAGAGATATTTATATATTCTAGGCGGGTTTAGACCAGTTTGTAATTTTGTCAAATATATAGAAACCGGAGAATCAGGAGACATTCTACACAAGAAGTTGAAGAAGCCATGGCAGGCGGACTAAATAAGGTAAATTTTATAAAAAAAATTGTTCCAGCAAAATCATCGAGTGAAAAGGAAAGACATTTGGAAAGATCAAATAAAAATACATGTTTCGCTATTGCAGAATATCTCTTCATTTTTATGTAAAGAAAAAAAATTCTGGTCACATTTGCTTCATTCTATATAATAATATTTTATTTTATATTTTACAAATACGGATAAAAATTTTTGAATACGTTCAAAAAAATTAAGATTTTTATTTAATATTTTTATAACTGAAATTGAGCCTCAGGGGGTTGGGTTGGGGTTTTTTCTTTTTCCATGGGGATTAACAATAATAGGGGATTAGTAAAAACATATTCCGATGTGCCCCCCCCCCTTTCCAAACCGCCCTTGGTGATATATCTGTAACGATTTTCGAGTTTTTAAAATAAATATTTATGCTTCTAACTTGAGTAAAAAGTCCTTCAGATCTCAACTTTAGTCTGAGTACATCATGAGTACATCATCTACTGGGGGAGTGTTATGTAACTAAGCAACTAAGCCTGTTCTATGGCCTCTGGCCTGATTTATTTAATTTTATAACTTGAATTCAAGTGCATGGACTTGATTTGTAATGTTTAAGGGTGATAAAATTAAATTTACACTTGTAACTTGATATTCTATTTTTCGATTGAATGAGAGAAATATTTTAGACGAAATATTTCTTAAGGGATTTACTGCGTAATTTATTATGAACCTTCATTTCAATAGCTGTGTGTCAAATGATTAAAAAAAGTTGATGAATTTCAAGAATTTAAAAACTTTCCGAGATATTATGTTATTTCAAACTCAATTCATTTAATTTCAATTCATTTAGTTGTGTTTTTTTAATCATAATGGCTAAGCTTTCTACACTTTAGAGTTTATTAACTATGTGCTAACTTATTTTAAACATCTAAACAATGAATATTAAATATAGCATACTGATGTAAAATTTTGATCAATACCATTTAATTAAAAGGGGTCAATCAAAACCCGTTTTTGACTACTCTCTAATACACGTGTGAGTGTGTGTCTGTGTGTTGTGTGTGGGGGGGGGGGGTCAGGAAGTTTAGATAAAGCTATTTGTGTAATGTATTCACTGAAATGCTAGGCCGAAGGCTGCAAGTTGCAAGGTTAAATAGATTTACAAAAACAAAAATTTAACTTTGAAACCGACTGATTGCATATGTGTAGTGCTAGGGAGGGGGTAATCCATTAAAATAATCTTTATTATACAAGATTTTTTTCTCACTGACGAATTAATCGGATAATTTAATTATGGTGTTTTTTGGTTACCATGTTTTTTTTCTATGGAGTTACGTACTTATGATGGCAGCGCTCATTAGTGGAAGGTGATAAACCTTGAATTTGAGATACACAAGATGTCTTCTTGAATTTAAAATATTTTATTTTGAATTATAATTTAATAGTTGTTATTCTTTTAGGCTGACATCTACATGCCTCCTTTCTAGTAAACCGTGGACCTTCTCAACATTTGGTTGTAATTAATGCGGTACAGTACATGTACATGAAGTAGCATACGTACTACTACACAACCAGATCATGATTTATGTACATTTACATACATTGTATATGAACCATTGAAACGTGGGATTGAAGAGAAAAAAGAAGAAAGTTTTCAACCATTATTTTTTTAATTTTTCATTCTTTTTTCTTAATATTTATGTTACTTTAAATTTCTGTGATCAATTTCTATATATATATGAATATTTGTAAAACTACTATTATGTGGCTCGTTTTTAAATTTTACTTGAAATGTTTTTATAATAATCTAAGCACACCTTTGTTACAGTTCAAACCTTGATGTTGATAAATTGATTGATTGATAAATTACCAATAGATAACTCGAAGATTGGCATTAACGTCTGAAGGTACTCAATGGTGAATAAACTATCTTGTTGCATGAAAACCATTTGGTGCAGTTCTGAACTTGATGTTCTTAAAATTGAAAGTCCGAAGGCGCAATTGTGAAATAAATGCCCTTGTTATGATAAAATTAATAATTGTGCTATTTGAAAATGTTTCTTTATCATAAAAGATAACTTTTATTTACCCAAATTTGAAGAAATGGCAATTGTAAAAAAATTGAATTGAAAAACTATTGAATTATAAATATTAAACAGGAAGTGTGCAGCATCTTCTTTATTTATATAATTGGCTACAAAATAAAACATTTGATAAATTAAAATAAGCGACAAAACTTGGATTCTATCAATGATAGAAATTAATTCGAAAATGTAACTGTTTTGAGTTAAAAATAAGTAATTCTGAGCCCAAAGATTTTGTTAAACCAAATAGTAAGCTCAACCAAGATTTGTAAACCTAGCCAAAGTATGTTTTCAAAATCCTTGTTTGTGATTGGTTAAAAATCTAATTGATCGACGAATCAAAGATGACCATTCGTTTTTGGCGCATTTGCCACACAACAGCTGATTTTAATCTGATCAAAAACAAACAAGAAACATATTTGTTTTAAACATGGAACGTTGTAAAGGATATATATTTTAACATAAGGAATCCTACGCTAAAAGGTAGGATTAAAACTGTATAGTTTTGGAAAACATTATTAAAATGTTATTATATGCTATGTTAAGATGATAATAAACGAGTTGAACTGAATGGTTCTGTAAGCTATTAAATTGAAAGGTTGAAACTAAAGGTACTGTAGACATAATTACAAGTTACATTATTAATGGAGTCCGATTTTCAGAGATAGATCATGAACGAAGAAGATTTCCATGTTTTCTCTTTATATTTTCAATTTTATATTTAAATTTGATTGATATTTAATAATTTTCAATTGTGGTTTCTCAACAAAGTGACTTACTGGGCTGAACTTAATTAAAGTGAATTGGAACAGACAAATTAAAAACGACTAGTTGGGCCATACGCAACTACAGGTGTCCTACGGAACATGACAGTTGGTAAATAGTTTAGGTCGTCTTCTTCCATAATTTGTTAAGTTGTTTAATACCAAATACAATGAAAAAATATATACATAGGAGTATATTATAGTAAAATTAACTTCAAAGTAAAATATATTTGAGCAAAAGATTTAAAAACGAAATAAACCGCAAACAGCCTTTAATATTAGTTCTTAGCTTCGGACAAAACCATGTTCCTCATTAGTTTGATATCTTGTTGCAAGCTTCAACCTATAACGAATTGTACTTATGAAATTCAACTTGCAACTTCTGAAGTAACGGTTGTAAATCGAGTATTCCACTTTTTTGCACAAAAATTATGATGACCCAATAAGAAAAAAAAAATTTACTTTTTAATGAATTTTGAATAAAATGAATTTTGACACATATTCCTCTTTTTGTTTTTTTTCCCGAATATTACTAATATAACAGCCCATGGCTGCAGCTCTAAAACAGGCTGAAAATGATGACCTAAAAATTTTTGCTTTTTACAGTGAGAACCAGAAAACTGTGGAATAGGAATTAAAGCAATAATAAAGTCACAAAGTGTATTAGATGATGTTAAAAAGCAAAGAAGATTTTCATTCAGTGAAGTGGGTCTGTTTACACTGCACAATTCCTGTGAATCGTGTTCATTAGACGATTTAAAGTTATAAGTTAAATCTAAAAGTCGTCTTCTTATTCCAGTGTTTCCTGATTCTCGTTGTTTAGGATTAGGAAGACGACATATATAAAGCAATAATAAAAGTGCATTGGATGTAAAAAAGCAAATAGCAAATTGTGACTTTTTAAATTACTTATTTAGTGAAATGTGTCTGTTTACACTACACGATAGCTGTGTCATATGTTAATTAAACGATTTAAAGTTCAAACTTGAGTCTTAAAGTCGTCATCTTATTCCAGTGATCCTGATTCTATAGCTTCTTAACATTTTTTAAGTTAATCAAGTCAGCAGTCTGAGAGCAGTACGCAGTGCATAAATTGTTTATTCCATTTAGATTTAATAATTTAGTAAGAAGTTCTCTAATATCGTCTTCGTAGTGTTTAATGTTGGTCGTATTGCAGATCAATACTGTTCAATTTAACCTCCATTAAACAAGTGTTTGTTAATTTAGACAGTCAAGTTCAAGGTATGGAAACCCAGCGTTGTCAAGGGTACCAAGATTAATCCGGCCGTTTACCCGCGCATGGTCTTTAATTACGTTTTAGCTATTTTTCCCTTTTAAGTGGATGCACTCAAGTTAGAATCTCAAAACCAAACTAAAAACATTCCCTTTGATCTTATGAGTGAGTTCCCTAGGGTTTCCTATCGCAATAGCATTGTGCGCAACGATGCTCAAAGGTTGCTTCCTTTTGCGCATTTGGGTTGCGCGCAATATTGACATTTTTGCGCTTTGATTCGCAATATCTATTGCTCGAAAAGTTGCCATTGCGATTATGAATTTTGCGCTACTGCTTTATTTCGATTTTGCGTTATTGCGTATTGTACACTGTTAAATATCCTTGTGAAGAACTCATAGCCCCATCCCATCCAATGTTTATATACATATATGTATATAATATATAAAGGGTTACCCACAAAGGATGAGACTTCAGAGACGACTGTACAGATCTCATACAGTCTAATTCTTCATATTTAGCATTTTATGCAATTGCAAACTGGTTTCTTTCTTTTCCATGCCAATAAAGGTGTCAAACCTTATAGAAATCCAAGGTATAGAACCAGCTACGTATAGCAACAAGGCGTATTTTCCGGGAGAACATTTTTTTATATTTTTGAGAGATTAAACGTTTTTGTAAAACATTGTAGTGTATTATTAGCATTATCATAATTTCTATTTTTACGTTCCCTAGACATTAAAGGAGCAAAATAGTTTAATATGTACATTTGTATTTGCTCTCTATTTGTTAACCATTAATTTTAAGACCTCCGCAAAATGTCGTCTTCAACTTGAATCTCCTCTCGGAGACAGCCAAACCAAATTTTCAGCCCGCATTTCCTTTGTACTCCGTCCTACGGAGCTTAAAATATTTTCGTTATTGTGAAATTATTAAAGTTAAGCAAGAATATTTTCATAAGAAGCATCAGTGAATTTCGTTAAATATTCAACTGTAATTTTTTCAGAAGTTAAAAAAACGTATTTCAATACTGATCAACAATAAGTCTCCCCCTATCACAACCTAATAAATCGTAAGATTTTTTCTATCATTAATATTCATTATAACATTGTTCAAATAACTATGACCTATAATTTATGTTATTTTTTTAAGAAAATTAAGCTTTTGTTATCGATTTTCTTGAGACGGGGTTACTCTGTTGTGTGTGTATTTGCGGCCTACCGGGAAAGAATTGTCCGGGGAAAATAAACATCCCCCACCAGAATCCTAACTGGCCTATTACTCCAATTTGTCTAGTGTGTTGCTGTTATTGTGTTAAAGGGTTGGTTAAAGGTCCTCCAGATTTTATTATGTACATAAATGAAAGATTATATGGTTATGCATAAAATTGGGCATTACTATCAAAAAAAATTTTTTTTTTAAATGCTAGCTACAGTTTTATTTTTAGAAGAAAAAAAACTTCTCAAAAGTATAAAAAAGTTCTCCAGTAATGCTAATATGGTTTCATAAAATTCCGTTCTACCATTTAAATAAACGGATTTTATGAAAATTATTTCTACTTTACACTCATTATTCAATTTCTCAAAAATATAAGTAGGGGTTTCTATACGTTGGATTTCCATAAGGTTTGACTTCGCCAATAAATAGGCATGCATTGCAAGCTAGACGATGTTCAAGGCAGGAAACTAAATTCAACCTTTTAGTCGTCACATTTCAGGTCGTCTTTGCAGGCTCATCCTTTGTGAGTATCTCTGTATAAATGACACAACGCCAAATTTAAGTAATTGTACGTTATAATGAAATCTTACATGTTTTTAATTAATATATTATTAAAAATTAATAATTAAATGATTAATTAATAATCAATAATTAATAATAAAATATATTATAAATTATAATCATCTTATTTAAAAACTATGGAGAGGAACAAAAATGTTGTGAATTTCTAGTAATTACGTAAAATTACGAGATGCAACCAAATAATTTTATTCTTCGATCTCGACACTATCTCTTTCTTTCTTATGCATAACATTAAAACTGGGGTTGCTACAAGGTAACAAAGTCGTACTATTACTGTCAAATTTTGCAACAATTGTTTCCCAAAGAACTATTGACAAAGTGTTGAGAATCATTTATACGACCACACAAGTTTACGATCACTTTTGAGATAAAAATGAAAATAAAAATTACGGACAGTCTTCCCAGTAATTTGGCAAGAAATTACCCTCGTTCAGAATTAGCAGAAAGCAGTGTCTTATTGTCGTCTTCCTGTATTTTCACAAACATTTCAAACTTTATCAAATTTAATACTTTTTAAAACAATTTTTTCAAATAGGTCAAATAAAAGAATATCTTGGCAATGCATTTTTATCAAAAGGTATTAAGAGTAATCGATTATCGACTTTTTTAGAAGTGACCCGCCCTCTTCCTTATGATGTTATGAGCCAATTTTTTTTTTGCAAATTTCATGCTTTTGCAAATTTTGTTATACATTTAAAAATCCATAATAAGAAATTTTAATCCATGTTGATGTTGGTCTGAAAGATGCACCTGTAGTACATATACTAGGTGAAAACTGTTCATTAGTTTTTTTTCGATATTTTCAAAATTGTCCCAATTGTTGGGACTAAAATCAATCAATCAAAAATCAAATTTCTGAATTTAGTATTTTATTTTGAATCTTTTGATATCCAACAATTATTAGTTATTGAAAATTTCGACTTCCGGAAAAATTGTCTTTTCTTAATGTTTTTTTTCAAATCCAAATCATGAGAGGGTGTCAGTCCTATCTAGCTAGAACACATGACTTTTATCATTTCAGTAATAGCATCATTAAAATTTACATAAGTTCCAAACCGGCTTTGGCTTGTTGGTTGCAAAGCTGTTTCTTGTTCTTGTTGGTTGCAAAACTGTTCCTTGTTCTTGTTGGTTGAAAAACTGTTCCTTGTTCTTGTTGGTTGCAACGCCGTTTCTTTTTCTAGATGGTTGCAAAACTGTTTCTTGTTCTTGTTGTTTTTGATTGTTTTCTTTACAAATATGCGCATCGTTTTTGTGAACGAACGAAATTTTTAAAAACGAACATAATTTCTTAAAAAATAATTAACGATGAACGAACAAACTGTTAATGAACGATTTGTTAGAACAAACTTGGAAAAACGTGTCATTTCTAGTTTCATTTTAAAAGTGACTTGCGCATTTCTACTGCAGGAAAACATATAGGACTTTTATACCTAGAAAATCATTAATATTTTCCATATCATTGTTCGGATAAAGTTTCATTGCCATCTTTGCATGGAGTATATAAATTATCAAGTACAATAGATGGCAAAGTATAAATGGACCAATTATACATGACGTCATAAGTGTTTAATTTAACAAGGACAACGAAATTTTCTCACATAAGAGTAAATAAGAAAGTGTAAAAACAGAAAAGAAAGAACATAAAATTGCATTTATTTTACTGTAAGATAAGCACTTAAAGGGAGTGTTCGTGAAAATGAAAGGGGGTATAGGCTTAATGCGATTAAAAGCGCTTTTGATCGCTACTCATTTTACTTCTATCTGTTGCGTCTATAAGGAGAAAATTGTTACAGACGTCTCATAACGAATAACTTAGCGGCCATACAAATTCAGAAAATTGCAACATACAACTTAGACCGTAAAAAATCAATTTAATTTCAAACAAATCATTTAGATATTACAGCCTATAGTCATCGATTATCTTTCGCCACATTTGTATATAGTTTATATTTTATAATATTTTATTTTTTTTTAGAAAACGTTTTAACGGATTTCGAAAAATGTGAGTGGTGCGCGGCATTCTTAGATAGTTGCGCAAGCGACAAGAGAAATAATCAAATTCAAAACAAATTAATTAAAACATATTATAAAATATAAACTATATAAAAATGTGGCGAAAGATAATCGATGACTACAGGTTGTAATATCTGAATGATTTGTTTGAAATTAAATTGATTTTTTTACGGTTTAAGTCATATGTTGCAATTTTCTGAATTGTTATTCGGTATGAGACGTCTTTAACAATTTTCTCCTTATAGACGGAACAGATATAAGTAAAATTATAAGCGATCAAAAGCGCTTTTTTATCGCATTCAGCCTATACCCCCTTTCATTTTTCGCGAACACTCCCTTTAAATCTAAAATTATCACTTTCATTTTCACTTTTATTGTACTAGAATTTATTTGGCATGGAGGATCATTTGAAATTACGCTTACTGCAAAAGAAAATCTGGGGGCTTAGAGAAGTCAACAGCGGTCGTTTTTAAAACGATAATTTCGTATTTATTCAATTTTTATCGTTTTGATGAAATTCGTTTTTCAAAAAAGTAAAACTGCCATTTCTACACTGGAATCAAAACTGCGAATGTACTCAATACAATTTCGTGGATTATCTCCATCAGATTTTGATGAAATTTTAGGATTAGATGGAAATTTATTAAGAACACTTTTTACTTTTCTACACTTTTCATTTTGAGAGAAAAAACTTTCGCTTATTTTTTTCTTGGCCCACGCCCCCCTTGCCTCATTAAAAAATCTTTTAAAATGTTTGAAATATTTATAAGACTTGGCAACTCAAAATGTTTTCTGTGTGTTTTATTTTCTAAATTGTGCTTATTTAGTTATATATCTTCAAAAGAAGGCCTGTAAACATTTTTTTAAAAATCTGTCCTTTCTTGTTTCTTTCTAAGCTAAAAATCCTTCTATCTTTTAAAGTCAAAATACTGTATTGGTCGAATAATATCTAGACTTCTTAAATTTTGGTCAACCTTCACTGAATATTGACACTTTATGATTTTTTAACAGTTTCTAAGTGTGCCTTATTTACGGATTAAAATTGCTAATAAGTAGTGTAAAGACTAGAATCAGACTAGAATCAGACTAGAATTAGACTAGAATCAGGCTGGAATCAGACTAGAATCAGACTAGAATCAGGCTAGAATCAGTCTAGAATCAGACTAGAATCAGACTAGAATCAGTCTAGAATCAGACTAGAATCAGACTAGAATTAGACTAGAATCAGGCTAGAATCAGACTAGAATCAGACTAGAATCAGGCTAGAAATCAGACTAGAATCAGACTAGAATCAGACTAGAATCTGACTAGAATCAGGCTAGAATCAGGCTAGAATCTGGCTAGAATCAGGCTAGAATCAGACTAGAATCAGGCTAGAATCAGGCTAGAATCAGACTAGAATCAGGCTAGAATCAATCTAGAATCAAACTAGAATCAGACTAGAATCAGACTAGAATAAAACTAGAATCAGCTAGAATCATGCTAGAATCAGACTAGAATCTGACTAGAATCAGGCTAGAATCAGGCTAGAATCAGACTAGAATCAGACAAGAATCAGACTAGAATCAGTCTAGAATCAGACTAGAATCAGACTAGAATCAGGCTAGAATCAGGTTAGAATCAGACTAGAATCAGGCTAGAATCTGGCTAGAATCAGCCTAGAATCAGACTAAAATCAGGCTAGAATCAGGCTAGAATCAGACTAGCGTAGGTCTACGACATATCGGGTCGCAACGAACATATTATTAGGATTAAAAAATCTAAATTTGTAAAAAGAAATCAATTCCATAGTATTTAGGCCGATTTTCAAATTGATATTAGGTATTATTTTTAAATCTCGAAGGAGTTTATGACAATCATTGTAGAAGAATAAAAAATCCATACACGCAGTGAACTTACGGAAATTTTGAATTTGCGTAATACGTTAAAACGCATTGTTTTTACAAGTCGACCATTTCTGAAACTATTGATTAAATATGAATCAGCACATTTGAGAAACAAAACGAAAAAAATTAAAAATTTAAAATTTGAAAAAATTAAAATGACTTCACAACGACGTTATTTTTCTATCAGCATTCGATCTAATGTTAAAAAAACTAAAATATTATGGACTTATCTTGACTTCATTCAAATGAACAAGAATATGTTAATTTTTTGCAAATTCTTATATTAGTTTTAAGAATAGAATCTATATTATCTCTATGAAATGACAAATATAATAACGTTATAACATATACAGATTATCACAGCTCTTTATTTCTCTTCAAAATTCAGGATTTCCTCCGGATCTAGGAGAAAAGGTCACCTATATCATATTTTTCCGTAAAAACGTCCTTTTCCGTCACAAATTCCGGAGTTATCGTTCCAGCTGCTTGTTCCTGTTCCTGTTCCTGCTCCGAGCCCACTAGCCAGTAGCCTGAAATAAAATTGTATCAATATTTGTTGGAAAAAAAGAAATTCAACTCCTGTTCTTTACTTCACTATTAAAATGAAAAGATACGGCTGTTTAAGAAGTTTTGAAAATACCTGGTAGTGAAGTAAAGATCTTGAGTGGAATTTCGGTGACCGGTATTGGTAATAAAACTTGAATTTTTTCAGGTGGATTTTCCCGGCTTATCGTCGACTCTAATTCGGAAACAATGTCGCTTGAGGACAGTGACAGCGACCCAGCATGGAACTCTGATTTCGACAATAAGTCGACACCGTCAGTACTTTCGGATTTTGGAGAATCGACTCCTTGTAAAAGATTCTCTAATCTTATTTTAATAATATTATTGTACATTTGAAAAAGTAATGAATCAATGTTTGCACCTATAAGATCGGTTTCTTCTATTTTATCAACATGTGATATAACTTTAAGGTCCTGGTCTGTAGGAGTTGCAGGTCGACATGATACCAAAGAAATCCATAAAATTATGGACACCAAACTCAGGCGATTGCTCCACATTTTGAAGTTTAAGAAAGACTGAAATTATGTTGAGATCAGGCGTTGAAATCTTTAGATTTTGAGTGGCGCACCGAACCGCGCCAAATCCGCATTCTAGTATCTCGGTAAATGCTGGGGACTGGTCGGGACTGTACAGAATACACTCTGGTTCCCGCGTAATTCGGAGGAATATGTCCCGCCCCTCGGCGACAAATTCACCAATAAAAGAGTTTATTGAGTTGACGGAACTTGTTAAATCTGAGCTCAAATACGTAAATAAGTAGATTTCACAGGAGAAACTGTACTCAGCGCAAAGTGCAAAAAGAAGTAAAGGAAAAGTTAGGGTGGATTTTAAACCTTCAGCAAAATAAGTGAACTTTTCCCGAGCTTTGAGTATATTGTATAAAATGTTGTGATTCAGAAGGTTTAAGTTCCAAAGTCCTCACTTCTCTTGATTTGAAAGTATTTATTAAGTATAGCTCTATGTAGTATTTAAGATTTTCGTTGAACGAAATTCGCGAAAATGAACGAACGAAATTCGCGCAGTTTCGTTCAAAATTTTCACGAATTTCGATGTACTTTCGACAAAATTGTTGAACTCTTTTTCGCGAACATTTCGTACATTTTAGCAAAATTTTTGTTCAATTTTCGTTTGATAAGAATCGAAATTTTTCCATTTCACATCAAGAAGATTGTCGAATTTCTGACGAAGTGTCTGGTAAGAACCCCCCCTCCCCCAAGGGTATATGTGTCCCATATTTTCATGTTATTTAGTAGATACTGTAAACTATCAAATAAACTGAGAAAAACCATAATTTCTTAATATATTTCTTTAAAAAATCGTATATATGAAAATCGATAAAATAAATTGTTTATCAGTCATTTTCTGCATTTCTATTTTGAGATCTATAAACTACTTTTTTATATTTAATGGGTAGGGTGGACAGTCAAACGGGGTGTCGGTGTTCCAAAAAAAATCAGAAATGTTTAATATATAGGGTGTTCAACTGAAAATGACGATTTAAAAATAATTGATTATCATGTTTGATATGATTCTTTGGTAAATAATTTCTGAGAGTTTAATTCCATTTACATATTTCTGCTAATTGCTATGTGTAAGGGAAGTTAAAATTAGCAAATTTAGTTGTAAAATTTGACTTCAATTAAACAGTTATTAACAGAAGTGTTAACGAAAATTCACAAATTCTGAATATTTTATCAAAAATGTTATTAAAATAAGGTTAAAATTTCGCGAAAATGAGTTGTTGAACATTTTTTTGAAAAAATACGATTTTAAACGACTCGACGATTTTAAACGACTCGCGAAAATTTCGAACAAATTACCTAAACGAAATTTTCGTGAAAGGGATTGAACGAAAATTTGGAAACCTTAGTTTAAACCGTGATAAAAACGTTTGTTTAAAAAAAAAAAATTTAATTAAAAAACTGAATAAATGACATTCTTTTGAAACTAACTAAAATTTTTAATTAGCTGGATTCAATAAATATTGTTGCTCACCAAAAGAAAATTTGTTATAAAGGAATATAAAACTCTAAAAATCGAAATTCTTCCTTGAAAGTAACAACACCGGTTTTATTATAAAACTTTTGAATACTGTTTTCTTATCGTTCTCCAAGAAACACAAATTTTCGCGGGATCTTTTGTTTAAATTGGTGGATTTTCAAAAAAAATTATTTCAAACTCCCATGCTATTTGAAAAAAATTTGGACAGTTCAGAAATGGCATAAAAAATGTTTTATTTACAAGTTTAGAGGGAAATGTGAAATCTATTTTTTTTTTAAAACGATTCCAGTGCAATTTTTTCCTGGTGCAACCTTTTCAAAAAAATGTTGATAAACAGATGCACATTGATGTTAAGATTGCACAGTAAACAACAAATGTCAGACATTGTTGAACATTTTAGTTAACAAGTTTAGCAACGCATAAAATCCCGGTTTTTGAGTGACATTGCTGTTAGTCCCATTGAAGTTACAAAGACTTAAATAAGTTACCGAAAGGTTAATAGTAATTATAGTTTAAAAAACGTAAAAAATCGAAAGTGTTGACATTTTCTGGTTATCACAGCAAGTTATAAACTTGTACAAGATTTAATTAAACACTCTTTAACTTAGCCATTTCTGAAGACAGCAGACCACATTTTGAAGAGCTCAAAGTTTTGCACAATATTTGAACCTTCTAAAACGACCCTAAACTTGTTTGGGTAAAGGAATTTTAAGTAGTTAAAAAAAAATTCCATTTCTTTTTTTGCCAAATGGCTATTTCCAAAATGTGCGGATACCCATGGCACTCCTGTATGCCAAGTCCATCAGCGCCTGATCCAATCAGGGTTCAGTCATGTGTTTGTTGTCTATTCTGAACCAATAGAAATTATGTGGCTGTAACATCTATCTTTCTATCTATCTCATTATCCAATCAGAGTTATGAATTCTTATATCGGCACTATCAGTAAATGGAAATATTTACTTCTACTGAAACTATGATGATGGAAGACAAATTACCAAATGTTAAAATTCCTAATGTCAATTTCCCAAATTTCAACTTCACCAAAAGGAAAATTGTCGTCAACTTCTTAAATCTGTTTGTCTATCTATCTATCTATCGTTATATCAATCCATCTATTCATCTATCTGTCTCTCTATCTGTCTGCCTATCTATCTATCTATCTTTATATCAATCCATCTATTCATCTATCTGTCTCTCTATCTGTCTGTCTATCTATCTATCTATCTATATATCAATCCATCTATTCATCTATCTGTCTCTCTATCTGTCTGTCTATCTATCTATATATCAAGTTGTCTATTCTCTTAGCCAAAGGAATGCCATTACGGTTTAACAGAAAGATGACATCCGCAATTAGAGATTTCATTCACCACAATTCCGCCCATCCTGCAACCACCTTTACCCCCCCCCATCTCTCTCCCCTCCCCCTACCGCCACATTATCATATCCCCTACCCTTCCATTTCCCATCTTTACTTTTCTTTTCTTCTTCTTTTTATATTTTTCGTCCCTTCTATCCCGCCAAATCTTTTAATTTTGTTTTCATGTACAGATCTTCTTTTCTTCTTTCTTTCGGTAGTTTTTTAATTTTTTAAATTTGTTGCAATTTATGCAGATTATCGTCTTTTTCATTTTTCTTTTCTTTTTTCCTTTTTTTCTCATTTTTAAATACCATCCTCGACATTTTTTATCTATCATCCTTTTTAATGACTTTCACCCTCTGCTGTTTCTCTCTTTCTCTTAATATTTATTCATATTTATAAACATTTATTTTTATATTTTCTCTTTATATTTATTTATATTCATAAACATTTATTTTTATATTTTTCTCTTCTTCTTCGACAATACCCATGATTCGTTCAATAAAGCAAAAGGAAAAAAACATTTAACTATATTTTTTTTTGACAATTTTTAATTAAATTCAGTGTTATGCTTTATGCCAATGTTAAATGCCATAAAATAAACACATAAAGTAAATGTAAGCGCAATTTCAAGTGATCCTTCATATAAAGATGGCAATTCCCGATTTACAATGGTACTCTTGAAGCCTTAATCTGATCAAAAATGTGGAATATTCACTTGTTCTTCTAGCTCGAAAAGTGTTTGTTTCTCCATGGTTCTTTTTAATATTTAGAAATGCACAATTCACAATAAACAGTTTGAAGAAGCATTTAATCATTTCAAACATAATCAGACAAAACTATTAAGGGTTGTGAATCGGACATTGCCATCTTTACATGGAGGGTCACTTGGAATTACAATTACAGCCCCTTAAATCTATTCGGATTCACTTTTTGCAAACTGCACTAAGATGATAAGATAAGTAAGTGTTGTCCCTACAATGGTTGTGAGGGTAGATCGTTCAACATTAAAGAGACCTCCGGCTGTAAACGGCGTCTCCACTTTAACCTGAAAAAGAAACTTTTTTTTTAATTTTGAGGAATGTTGCATCACAATATTAAAAATCTTGGGCAAATTAGTAAAAATTCATCTTATAAAACATGTTTTGTTGTTGATGTAGATTTTATTTTTTTAGAAACCTATTTTTTTACAGAAGTAATAAGGTCGGAGATGGTATCTTTTATAAAGAGATTGAGTTAACTCTATTCCTGCTGGGTGGGGGGGGGGGGGGGTCAAAATCCCCCCCCCCAATTTTTTGCAAAACTCAGGTTGTAGGAACAGATAAAGTAGCTGAGACTCCGGGAGCAGCTAAAGTAGCAGCTAGGATTACAGCAGTAAAAGTGGAAGCTGTTGTTGAGAGATTGCCTGGAGAGATATTTGAGTTCAAGGAAGCTGTTCAGATAGATCTTGAACTGGAGCAGCTAAACAAGATATTTTAGTTTGAGGAAGCTGCTCAAATAAATTCTGAACCTGTGCAGCTAAACGAGACATTTGAGTTCGAGGAAGCTGCTCAGATAGACCCTGAACAGGAGCAACCAAACAACAGTTTCCAGATTCTAATAAAGAGCAGATTTTACCAAATTTTAATAAAAGTCTGAACGATGATAAACTCTGTTCATTAGTAAACCTGAAAGATATCCAGAGAGAAATTATAAAGGGATTTATAAGGAGTACTGGGATCCAAGGTGAAACGTTTACATTTACCCTAACCATGCATATAATTGCAATGCTTGTAAAGGAACTGATTACTTGCCTAAAACTCTACATTGCAACATGATGGCATGATGGCACACTGCAAACCAGATATACACTCTCTTACCCATAAATCAAGCAGTATTTTGCTAACTACTCCTTTTGAACTTAAAGGGAGTGTTCGCAAAAAATGAAAGGGGGTACGGGCTTACGGAAAAAAATTAGCGCTTTTGATCACTATTACTAATCTTACTTCTATCTGTTGCGTATATCAGGAGAAAATTGTTAAAAACGACTCATGCTGAAGAACTTAGCGCCCATACAAATTCAGAAATTCGTGGAAACCTTATTCTCGAAACCTTACCCAGTCAAAATTAAAAATGAATTTTTGGAATTTCTGAGTAGATAATTTAACTATCCTTCTAGGGACGAATTGAAAAAAAACACTAAATTACCTATCCCTAATAAAATTGCAAAAAAAGGCAAAATAAAAGTGCATTTCCCCGACAACAAAAAATCAACAAAAAAAAATGTCTAAATGTAAAAGTATTTAAACCTGATATAGAAGTGTCACAAGCTTGTCTGTGTCCTCTGTAACACACTTATTTAATCTTAATCTAAACATATCACGTTTTATATTTTATTCTTTAAATGAACAAAAATAAATTTGAACAAATTAAACATTTGTAATTATGTTTTTCTTTTCTGCAAAAATTCTGTATTTATTCT